AAATAACAAACAAATATATATTACCTTGTAGACCTGGCGGACCTGGAGGTCCACTAATTTCAATAACTTTTCCTGGCTGCCCAGGAGCTCCCGCAGGTCCCGGTTGACCAGTTGGGCCTGGCGGACCAGCTGCACCAGCCATACCAACTTCACCTGGCTTACCGTCGGATCCTTTTTCTCCATTCTTCCCTCTTGGTCCTTGCGGTCCCTTAGGCCCTGCCTGGCCAACTGGACCTGGAGGCCCAGGCGGACACACTACACATGGCTCTGACTGCTCTATAGGAGAATCCAAAATCTACAATTTATAACATTTTAAACACCAAATCATTTGAAGTAACTCTGAAATCACAAAGCAGTTCTTTCCAGAAAAAACTACAAATACCCAAAATCCAAAACTTTTTTCTTCTTCCAAAAACTACTCTCGTTGCCAAACCTGCAGTTAAGATCAAACTAAGAAGAATAAATGTTTGTCTCCCACTTAAACGCATTTATTGTAAACACTATCGCTTCTCTACGTATAAAAAGGTGAAATGGTCAGAACAAACTTCTCCATCTCGTCCATCTTCTCCATCCTGACCATTGTCTCCATCTTTGCCACTAGGTCCATCATCCCCAGGTGGTCCTGGAGGACCAACTGGTCCCTGTTGACAAGAGCAACACGAAGGTCCCGCTTCCTCGACAGGAGCAAAAAGTGGCGTTTGGACACCATATCCACCTCCGCCATTGCTTGGAGGTATATACTGGCCGAATAACCAAGATCCTGATGAACGCTTCGTGCGCAATCCTCCTTCGATAACATTCATTTCTTTCCACATATCGCGAGACCTTGTCTAAAAATAAGCAAATAAAAAAATTTTGCTAAAATAGGACTTCTTTGAAAGATTCATCCAAAAACCGTGATTGTGAGATACTGCTAAAATAAGCATTATTTTAAAAGCGACAAATAAATGTGCTAAAACGAAGAAACTTGATTCAAATAAAATGTAACTCCTGCGTACCTTACAGAAATCAGATTCAACAATCAGATGACTTTGGAAGGATTGTACGTAATTGTAAAGCATTGGCAGAGTAACAATCGAAGCGATAACCGCAACCGTTGAAACTACAATCGCGAAAAAGGCCACTCGGCGCATTTGCCGTTGCTCGTCATTTTCTTCGTACATCTCCATGTCTATTCAATCACCCGTACTGAAACAGCGTATTAGTTGCCGAATCCTTTTAAGTGACCTGCTTCCTGTCACGCCCATAGTTAAATAAGTCAGTTTCAGACCAGCACATTTTCGAAAAAAAATTTTTTCCTTTTGTTTTAATTAAAAACCTTTCCAGTTTATTCCCCTTGTTTTAATGCTGTTGACATATAGTTAGAAAACAACCAATTTGTTCAATATTATGCGAGAGTTGGATACAACGAAGACGAGAATTAATTTTTAATTACGGTAAAACCACCATTCCAACCATTGCGGGTCAATAATTCTAAATGATGCAATATAAACTGACCAAGTTGTTTTTGGATAGTCCAAATGAAAGTTTAACTTACTTTGTTGGAACCCTCGGATTTTCCCTTATTAATGTACTTACATGCATCAGAGTACCAATCTGCAGATTTACTTTGAGGAGCGGTGAAGTACTGTACTGAGGAAATAGTACCCTAATGGCACTTAAGAATTTGTCAACTGAATACTTTTAAAGAAGACCAAAAATTTTTAAATTTATCTGTGGTGTAGAAAGAAGCATGCAATGCAAAGACTAATTTCTCAAATAATCACTTCTTCCATTGACGTTGCAGTTGCTTTTAGAATACATGCCGGGCACTTTTTTGAATCGAAATAACACTCTGATAATGTTAGAGCACTTAATATTTACTTTCTCAAACCCGGACGCAAAAGTCCACATTAAGTTTTCGCAAAATTAATATTCAAACGATACGCTGATCTAACTCAAAAAGTTTTGAAGGCTATAACTTGAAAGTCGTTTATGATGAATTGAATGAATTAATGCGGCTTTGGTTATACTGTCATTACTTTTCGCTGTTAACCATGGTCGCCTGATTGACTTTCCTTTTTCGCCAATTCTGACATCATTAGAAGGAGCTGTTGCATAGTTTTATTGAAACATTTCCGCATCGTTTAAAAACGTACGTTGCTGCGTTCAGTAGGAGAATGCGCTGACCCAATTACCTGATTTCATAACTATACCTTCTTTTTTTTGAGCTCTGCAAAGATAAGAAATCCTTAATTTGGCCTACATGTTTTTCTGCAGCAATGCTGCAACAATTATTTATATGCAACTAAAAAAATGAGATTCAAATTCCACCCATTTATATGGTCCAGTCAACCACCCACTTCATTTTCCATCACTACCATCGATTCCTGTCAAAACAGCTTAGCAGCCTCAACTAAATCAACATGTATCCTTCGTAGCTCCCCGAAAACTAAAGTTAACCTCTGTACTGCCAACCAAAGACTACTCTTCACCGGTAGCTTCTCCCAATCGTTTTTGTTGCAAGTATTTGACTCTCACCGAAAACTGCCACTTCAGCAAGAAACACACCTTGCATCACTCTTGCACCAGCATTATACGACAATGAGCCGTTCTAGAGTCAAGCCGTCCCTTGCCAGTGCCTAACTTCGAACCCCAAACACACCCTACTTTACCAGCACACTACCCGTCTGCGCCAACCCATACAGGAACTTATCCCCAGCTTCACTCATATAAACGTCTAACCTGACGTTCATTGTAACAACTGAAACGACATAGAAGGAGCCAATTACTGCAATCAAAATTAAAGGTAAGAACATAATAACGGTTATGGCAAAACAATGCATGTAACCTAAGTAGAAAAAAAAAAACAAAACAAAATAAAAAATAAAAACCTAAAATCTGAAAAGAGCGTCACTCTAGTGTTCGAAATTAACTGGCGTGATACCAGTTGACCTAAAATAAAAACAAAGAATTTTAAGCCCAACTGCTTCCAAAATAATGATTAGGAATTCAGAAACGAAGTAAAAGTTGCAAAAAAATTCTAACACATAAAAACTATTTTCAAATTTAAAAATCATGTTAAAAAGTTATACAGTTCACAGACAAAGAAACGTCGACTCACTACTGCATAGGTAAAAAACGGAACACAAAAATTGAAATTAAATACTCTGACTAGTCTACTCCCAAGGAAATAACTGAAAAAGGTCTCAGGAAAAAAAATGACTGTAAAATTTTCTGAAAATTAAGAAAGAGAATTTATCATCCAACGCAACCAATCTTACATTATAAAATTTCACTAGCACTCAGCAGTACAACAAACGGTAATAACAGACAAGTAGCGAAGACTAGAAACTATCACTAAAACAACTTCGACAACAGAACAAGCTTAATAAAAAACTGAACAGCTAATAAAAAACCACTTAAATTTCTCAAAAAAAACATTGATGATCTTGTTACTGATAAATATCCAACTGATCAACAAAAATGTTTCCAACCAACAAATAAAAACAAAAACTCTTTGTTCCCAAAAACAATTTTTTCTTTTTCACTCCCAAAACCAAAAGATTGCCTCAGTTTCACAAATAAAAAAGTCAAAGTTTTAAATTTTCTAAAAAAGACATATTCTGAGCAGAATTTTTTGCTCTACAACTTATCAAAAATTGGAGCTGGCAGTTTTTCGGCATCGAGAACTACAAGCTGGAATAGAATGAAAAAGTGGAAAAAAGCCACTATTTTTACAGTAATCCCATATCCTACATTGGCGAAACCATCTGGAGTCGCTTCTAAAGACCGCAGCGGGCAGCTTTCATCTGGTATCCTTTAAACGTTGAAAATTTGTTAACAAAATTTCTACTCTACTTCAACGATATCAATAGATTATCATACCCCAGAGGTTTAAGAAGTACCCTTCACTCAAGTGTTTTTTACTCCTTGCATTTCGCGCTTTCTAAGCTGTTGAAATTGTTTCCATTTTAGACCCTCAAAGTCTTCGTTGCCCAAGCAAACAAAAGCTACAATTGTTGTCTTTATTCAGATTTATGTGCCGCAGTTCCCCAGAAACTTAGAAAGCTTTCAGAACAGCCTTAATCCAATAGCTACTCAGATTAAGCAGTGAGTCCTTAGGCTTCATTGCGACGCCAAAATGTATACTAGCTACATAGTTTTGACAGAAT